ATGGATGGATGGATGGATGGACTTAGTGACTGTCGGCAAATATGTAATTTTCTCTGTAAATATCCACAGTGTTCCAAAATCAAATGATCTTATCTGAGTCAGTTTTTCAATCCAATAAAAGCAGTAATGCACCAAGTTCTGTCTTTTATGTCTCAAGAATCTAACAAAGGCACCTTAAGAGTTTTTGCTTTGAATACAGGCTGAAAGGTTATATGTATTAATAGTATTAGGAAGCAGTCGAGCTTCAGCGTTCACTCTTGACCTTGTAGAAAGTTTGACTTCATAATGAGTAAGAGCTTTAGGAGAGGGCAGCTGGATTTCTCTTTTTGGTTTTTGAAGATGTCAATCTTCAAGAATCCAAAAGAGAATTTTGTGTGACCTCATTAAAATCCTAGAGAAAATACAGTGAGTGGACCTCAAATTGGGATCATTTTGCTGATAATGAAACATAAAAAATGCCAGTCAGAAATCAGTTTCACATTTCTTGTATGTCCCATGTTTGGTTTCATGCCATCAACTTTTGTGGAGACATTCATGGTCTCCAGAGGGTGAATCCCAACTCCTTGACTGCCAGCATGCAGTGTTAGAAATGTCTAAATGTCTTAGAAAAGTCTGCATGTCTCATTTAAACATGTGCCAGATATAAAACATTTGCCACATTCTGTAAAAAAAACAACAAAAAGAAATCTGCACTCCTCTGTTCAACTGAGAATCCATAAGTGACACGTGACAGAAATTCAGGAGCGATTCGTCTGAACTGCGGCCAATGTTTACACAGAACAGATAAAAGACAAGTAGCACAAAATGCTACTTTGTCCCTGATAAAATACCTAGTGCATGTGCAGCTATTCTTTCTTTTTGTCAGTACCGGTAACACATGTGGGCACTTGAAAAATGCTACACATATAGATTCCAGATTTTTTCAGTTTTTGAAAAATAAGTCATGAAAGAAATGAAACTTTTTTTTCTTTTTAAAGATTTAAAGCATTTTAATTGTCATGCTGCACTGGAGACATTTCTGAGTTCTCTCTCCTTAGAGTAATGGGTTTTCTGTTTCCGTAGATGTGCAGGACTTTTATATTGCAGTGAAAAATAAACTCATAGTTATTTAAAATGTGACAAGAGCAAGAAAAGGCCCAGATTCTATTTCAGAAGTTTAATGAGGAAAATAGCTGCTGGACTAATATTTCCATCAGCCTCAGCTACATTGTGTTTTGTGCTACTTGGCAAATGTTAGCACGCTAGCAGGCTAAAATAAGAAAGACAACATGGTTAATATTAAATGTGCTTCATTTCAACATGTTAGCAATGTTATTCTGACTATGTTAGCCGCTGATGTTAGCATGTAGTCCACAGAGCCACCAGCCTGGTTGTATATTCTGACTATAGCAATATACATTTGCTACAGAAAGGTGCTTTTTGGGTCTCCTATTATAAATTGTCTAGTGTCCTACAGCATCACTTTTGTGGATCTGCGCCTCCATGGAAAGTTGTCTCCTAATTTGCCCATAGGCTCAGAAAGAGGAGTTGTTAGGAGGAGTTTCAGACAAACACCAAATAAATTAGTTAGTGAAAGAATAAATGCTTTTGCAACCCCAAAATGAAAGCTTTCGTCGGAAAAGATGTCTTACAGACCAAACTGTTTATCCATCTGGTTGTGTGTCACCATGGCAACGGCATCATTCCTCTTTCATAAGACAAGTACCATTGATTTTATTTATTTTTCACTACAATTTTTTATAATCACTGTCTTTTCTCAAGAGCAGGAAAGATACATGGGCGAACTGATTTCCCTCTCGTATGCTGCGTCACACT